TGTAAATTAGGGTCATGCACTGTGTCATAACCAGCAAGAACAGCAGTTTTCTGTATAACAGAGAGATGTACTGATGCACTGTGACTAAGCTATCAAAGATACTGAGTTTGTACAGGGAGCAGAGTGGCTGTCATGTCCCAAAACTTGGGCTGGGTGCTATAAAACTTTCCCAGCAAGGCTGAGAAACACATGTTACTATGAACTCTGGACAAATTTTCACTGAGTAGTTGCTCTTTTAACAAAACAGCTATAGGCAGACCAAAGAGAAGGAAATGGAATTAGATGATTGCATTCACCTGTTTACTTTGGCTCAACGGAAGTGCCTCACGAGGAGTTTTAAGTGTAACTCACACTAATGTTATATGCCTGATTTTACTTAAAAGGGAGAGGGGTTAGGACCTATGAGTCCATCTTGAACAGCTTTATACACGTCAGTCAAACTTTTCTGAGCTACGTTTTACCACTAACAAAGGGGGAAAAGTAATGATAAGGTCTGTCTTTGTGCATACAGGGAAGACAAATACATTAAATGCTAAAGAAGACTTTTTTTAACACTTGCTTTAGTATTCCCATAGAATAATGCTTGAGATAGGAAAAGTTAAATCACCCCACTCTTCTTAGTCCCTTCTTTGGAATGGCATTTCCTAATTTCTAAGTAGTGTATCAACAGGTATCAAATACTTGTCCTCCAAACCCTGTTAGTATCTTATGTTAATCTGGGAACTTCTTTTAGAGACTGCTTTCGGTTACAAAACAGGGAACAACTTGGGTGCCACAGCTTCTGGACTGACTAATCTAAAAACTATTAGATCGCAGAAATTAAAAAAAAAAAAAAATTAAAAAAGAGATATTTTCGGTTGCTGTGAGTAAGCTCTCTAGCCGGGGGGAAGCACCTCATACAGGCTTTTGTTTGCACACTAGCCCATGAGTACAAGTTTTGAGGTGGTGTGCCTGTAAATTTTTTTTTGATTGCATAACCACTTCATCTACTTGAATAAGTTAACTGCTCTTTGCTTAATCGCTTTGCTCTGATGTCCACAGCTGCACAAATCTCAACGTGCTTACTTGGCACAGGGCAATGGTGTAACCACATGGAACTCCTGGTAACTTTATGCCAGCAAAGTGGGACCAGAGAATACGCCAAGGTAAGCAACTGTTGAACTGCTTTTTGCCTCCATGTTTTATAATCCGTTAATCTGCTCCCTGGCTAGTAGCAAACCTACTGTTTTATATACACTTATCACTGGGAAAGTGGAATGAAAACTTGCTGAAAATTAGGCTATTTTATATCCACATTATGTGCCACACCAACTAAATTCTAAAACAGGGAGACATACTCACTAATTTTGGAATACTATAGGAATGCAGAGCCAGGTCCTGCCGGGATCCCTGTGGACACAAAGCTCTGCCTGCACAGCTTTGAATTACTAGCTCCTATAAGCCATAAGGATGGGTCCATTACAGGTAATACAGCTAGCTCAGGTAATAAATAATATACACAGGAGGCAATACGATAGGAAGCAATATCCAGCTGGTTAAAATGGAGCTGCGTCTGTAGTCTATTTTTAAGGACACTTTCCAAGAGAGAAAATCGTAACTGGGCATCGCTGTGTTTCCTAAGGTACCTGGGTATGGTGTTAGTTGATAATGTAGAGCTGCAACAAATAATGTCAATATATCAGCTTGTGTTTCACCTGCTGTAGGGGAGTGGTGCTTGGAAGTCTGTAAAAGTTAGCAGGCAGATTAGATGCTTTTAATAATTAAGAAGTTATATAAGACTCCTCTCCAAATCCATTTAACGTTCCTGTAAATCCATCCTGTAGGACGCTCAGAGATCCAGCCAGTCTTCTGAAGTGGTGGGACGCATTCCGAATCACTGGCGGAAAGGCAAAGACTAAGGTAGCTCAAAACCATCAAGACTCACAAGCAGGATTTACAAGTTGAAAAACGATGTTCCTCAAAGCCTGGATTCTGCTGGTGAATGTTAGTGCAGCAGTCTGATGTACGGCACCGTCTGATGGGCTGGCACGCTACCACTGTTTGTGTGCACAGCTCTCTACGAAGCTGGTACTTGATTATGGGCCTGGTTTTGTTCTTCACTTCTGCCAGGAAAAAATGCTTCTGAAAATAGCAGAGATGCACTAAGTGAAACTGGGCTCTGTGAAAGGCAATCGAGATCTGCATGGAGGAAGTCTGGGCACAGTGCCTTACTGACACCACCAGAACCTTAGATGAAAGACAGCTCTTTTGGGACAGGCTGCCTCAAAAAGCTTGATTCTCATGCCAGCAGGTCAAGGCCAAAAAATTATACCCCTTCTCAATCTGTTAAGGGAGATGTTATAATATTCCCTTCTTCTTGCTCTTTCCCACTTGTCTGTTTCTGTGTCAGGGTTTTCAAGGAAGAAGCTCCTTCTGGCCTTGAGCGCAACAGGGCCTTATCTTTGCTTGGAATATATAGGTACTAGCCAGGCCTGAATAATAACATACAGACCATATAGAAGTCCACAGAACTCTATTCTGTAAGAAAACCCAGTAAGTTCCTAGGAATGTACTGTGCACCTACTTTAGTCCATATACTGGTGTAGAGGCCTGAAAGTGAAATTGCAGCCAAAGAGGGTGAAGAAGAGCCATGTAGTATGAGACACATTCCTGAACTAGTGTGAAATCTAAATACAGTTTTGCTTATCCAATTACACTGAGTGATGGCTGCTAAGAGTTTGATCCTATACCAAGCAGTTTTCCAATAAATAATCTAGAGCTCCTTAGGAAAAGTACTAACTGCTCAAGCCTGAAAGCCAGTAGCTCTATTTTAGTCTGTTTCTCTCTTGAGACACTTAGATCCACAAGATTTTTGTTGTTAAATGAGGTAGAAGTGATGAAAGTAGGAATGCTTGCCCCTCTGTTTGTCAGATCCATCCATCTACTCCATTGCTGGTAGAAAATACGAGCTGTGTGTGTCTGCTTTTCAGAAGTTCAGAAAACTGTGGCTCCATCTCCACCCTATGGATGCTCCTGCGTGTTCTCCTCGTGCCGATAAGCTGGTGCCTGACTCATACAATTATCTGATTAGAAGACCTGTCTGCAGCCATGAAGCCTTAGGCTGCAATCCCGCAAGCTTTCATGAGCTAAGAGAGGTCAGTCTGGGTGAGGGCACCGATAGAGACAAAGAGGCAGTCCAGTGATGGTAAAGGGAAGAGGAAGACATTGCCTTTACCACCTATTCACTCCTTTTCTCTGGTTTTCTCCGATGTTGCAGGCTGCTGTTCCAGGAGATGCTTATTTGCAGCTTCAGACGAGCTCCTGTGCAGCTAGCTGATTACCTGGGTGACCCAAATCCATCATCGGGAAGCTTAATATCCAGCGGCAGGTACAAGGAGCTAGTGCGAGGATGGAGGAAAACTGGTGACAGATCTATTGCAGTAAGTAGGGCTGATGCCAATTAAAACTTGGTTTCTCTCCCTGGGGTTATTGTGGTCCCATAGCAGAAGAGAGAGATGCATAGAAGGCCCACACTTCTCCTAGCACTGTCCAGCAATACAGGATGTCTTGAATGAATAATAAGGGAAAAAAGGGCCTACAATTCACCATGTGTTAAATCCACAGCTGAATGGCAAAAGAGAAGAAACAGGGATCTGCCTGGTTCCTCTCAAAAAAGAATACAACTTGCCTTTTTAGTTGAAAGCACAGAGGGAGTTTTTGTTTGCTCCCAAAGGGAGTCATTCATGTATATGGGGAAGTGTTTTGACCCGTTTAATCATGTGAGGAGCATTAGCTCCTTCATCTCAAAACTTTCGTCCTCATGACCCAAGGGCAGCAGTGACAATGTCTCCCGATATGCCTTTAGTTTCTACAGATGCCAATCTAAAAATGACACAAGAATAACCTGATTTCCTGACCTTTTCTGCCAGGCTTCCCAGGAGCACTCTTACCCTTCAGGACTTCTATATATGCTTTTCACGAGTTTAAGAACACTTCGGCCAGAGGCGGAGAAACTATGATTTTCTCCACCCATCACCTATTCCTAAGACTTACTAATTTCATCACAAACGTATGAAAAGTTTGATTTTTCTTATTTATTTTTAATTCACCTCCTATATCTGAATTATTACTAAAAAAAGTTACCTCAATTCAGCAAGAGGTTAAAATATTCTTTGCTTTCAAAAATTCAAATGGAATGAATAGTTCTCTCTCACACATTTTTTGAGAAATTAGTACTTCCCAGGTGAAACTGCTTGACTGGCACTAGATTCCACCATGACCAACAACCCTTTGGAAAATCTTTTGTGTTCCATGGCCTGACCAGACCAAGTGGAATTTAAATCCTGCTAAATTTATCCCTGGCAGCAGAATTAAATTAAAGCTGCCACTGACCAGTCTGCATTTGAAAGAACTCTAAATTTTGTAGCTAATGCAATAGATGGAGTTTTGGTACCTGGAAATAAGGGAGATTACTGATGACCTTTCTCTTCAAGTTGGCCTGTGGAAGTGCTGAAGTAAATAGGTTAGAGCTGTCCCTCAGCCCATTCCCAAGTACTGAGGACTTACAGAAGCTACACAACCTGTCCTCAGCACTTAATTTCTTTGCATTCAGCTTCAGGAGGAACATGTATATGCATTGCAGAAGATATTTGGTTGCCTGAGCCATAACCAGTATTGTTTGTGTACCAGGAACATCACTCTCTTACTGTGAAGCCTTCCTCTGTAATTACCATACTCCCTGACTGGAGCAGAAAAAAAAAAAGACCAAAAACCTAAAAGCTCACTGTGTGTCACTAAGGACTGAAGTGACAAATGCAAGCGTAATGTCTCTGAAGACAATTAAAATGCTTTGAGATATGTTCTTTAAGTAGAAGCAACTGTTTCTGTTACTGTGTTGTGGTTTTGCTTTTTTGTTGTTGTTTTTCTAATAAAGTGGATTACTTTCCAAGGTGAAGATGAAGGAGAACAATACAATCTGCAATATCTATAAATCCCAAGAATAATCAGAAAATGCTCCATTGTGCTAGTAAGCTTTATTGTTTGCTGTGTTTATACAATTAATCAGGATTCTACTGGATAAAACAGTCTACAGAGAGAAAATAAGGGCTTGCACTGTAAAGTTCCTTCATCATAAAACTTGAGATTACACAACTGGGCTTCTTGGAAATACTCAGACTGTACACTTCCGAGAATAGCATTCGCACTGAGAGGCAGAAGGGATGTAATGCTGCACCACTGTCCCATTGGCACACTGGAGCGGGATCGTGACTATGGTTGTTTGAGTAGCTGTACAGCAGCTGCACACGTCTTCCCATTTCCCTGTCTGAACAGAGTATCTGGTGTTGCTTCTGCACTTGCCCTAAGTGGAAAAAAGAGATACTAAGTTTGAACAGTGCCAGACCTCAGTGCAATCAGAATCCAGTTTCTTCCCTTCAAAACATCCATGGACAACTTTTCCTGGACTTCAGTGCTCTGCTGTGGGGTGCTGGTCAAAGAGTAATGTCTTATGAGCATAAGCATAGCAAAGGAGAGGAGAAGAAACTGCTCCCATTAAAAAAGTTTATAATTTAAAATATCACAGGTGATGTCCGGGGCTATTGTGTTGGCCTCTAAGCACATATGGTTGTCGTCTCAGCTCTATGAGATCATGCATTCAGAAAGTGCTTTAGCCCAAGTGTTGCAAGCCACGCATCCATTGTTGTCCTGCTGGTTGCTATTTTCCCTTGTTTTACTTGTCTGGCCACTTTACTAATTTAAACCGAGCTGTCAATGCCTGTAGCTATAAAGCTTTCATGATGTAAAAACAAACGGCCTCACATTAAACTCTTGTCAGAGTCCATTTCTTCTCGTGGCTCTGTGCTCTTATTTCTGAGATTAATACAAAAAAAAAACCCCACGCATAGAAAAACTGTACTCAATACCACCTATAGCAGGAGTATTTAGTTTATTCAATATATGGCCAGATTCACAAAATAAAATCTGTAGCTTTGTAGGGGAAACTTCAATACATAGGACTTTATGGCTAAAGACCTGATTACCACTGACTTTGTGGACAGGACAAGAATATTTATTTTTTTTATGAAAGCTAAGCGTGTTTGTCATTGTTCTTAAAGCTTCCACTCTTATTAAGACTTGTGTAGCAAATGAAGGCCCTTTACCAGGTAGCTATCCGAAAAGCCTGAGCGTAATACTTCTCCCTTCTGTTCTCATTCTTTTCCCAGTAGTCATGGGAAAGACAGACTCATTTTGCCTACTGCCTTAACTAAAGGGAATATTCAGGGGCTGGGTGCAAGCCATCTTCTTGACAGCCATCCTTGCATGCCATAGCTTGGACTGTATGCAAGTATTTAATCTGATTATGGAAGAAATACACAAGACATGCAGAACACAACCGCTTAGTGCTCAGGCTAATAGAGGAGTCGTAGAGCTTATAGAGCACAGAAGTCAAATCACAGCACTCAAGTTTAAATGTTTTTTAAAGTATCATGCATCTAAACACCTATTTACACTCTTATAAATCAACTTCAGAGCCTGAAGAGGGATATGTGCTTAACTGTAAACTCAGATCTGAAAATCAGCTTCACTAATACCAAGATGAAAATTCTTTTTACATAGGAAGTCCTAACAAAGCTGCTTCAGTCATTAATTTTTGATGGAAGTAAAGGAGAGTGGTACAAACAAAGCTTTTGGGACTAATGTGGTTTTTTCCATGCTGGCTTGAATAGGAAAAATTTGACATCACCAAATTACTTTAGGAAATAAATGCTAATGAGGTTTACACTGTTCGAGTGAATCAATGAGAAGAAGAGAAACTGACTTCACTTATTGAAGTGAAGCTGTAGTGGAGGCAAAGTTTTCCCATGTGAAAGAGAGAAAGGGGGCAAGGGCAGATCTTGGGGCAGGGGAGTTGCTTTTGGTTCTTACCTCACAATGAGAAATAGGCACTTCCTTTTCAGCCACACATCCGTTGATATTACCATACTGCAGTCTGGTACTTACTGGTCGACATTCCACTTCCACACCTACCAAGTTAAAAAAGAAAAAAAAAAGTATTTGACAATGCTGACAACCGCTTTTTTTTTTTTTATCTTTCTTCCCCTTATTACTGAAATTGCTGTTAGTGACATGTCATTGCTGGTAAGATTCCTAGCAAGAGAATTAGGTGTTTCTCCTTAGAGTAATCAATGTAGAGCTGTGTGACCATATCGCACTACAGCTCTAAAATTCCACTGGAGAGTAGCGTTTCCCTCATGTTTCTTTTCAACTGACTGCTTTGTTTGAAAGTCACCTTGCCACCTAACGTCTACCTTTCACCTGTTAGCTTCTGTGTTAGATAGCTCTCCTTTTCAAGTTCAGCGGTACATTGGGCAAGCAGGTGTATAGGAAAAAGATGACACAGACGAGAACCCAAATAACCTAATCAGAGAAATAGAGCACCCTGACCTGGCTTCTCCTGGGGCTGTCACAGGTTAGAGATCCAATTTTCTGGGGATGATGCCCTTCACGATGAGTCAGTGGGAGCAGCTCTCCAGATGACCTTACAGACTGAGGTGAGTCACTGCATTCAGGACTGTGCGGGACTCGTTATGCAATGCTAGGGAAGAACACTCTGGGATTCTACAAGACTGACCTATTATGGGATTTTTAGGGGAGGAACTAAGGGTGTGGGAAGAGAGGGATTAAAGTGATTTGTTGAGGAACAAGCATAGGAAAACGGATGAATAAAAGCATAAAGAGGGCCATTTGCACCTTAAAGAGCTGCTGGTCCATACTTCTGTCTGACCCTGCCCTACATTTGATCACTGCAGTCTGTCCCATCTTCTTATGAAACTCCATTTCTAACTACTTGTTCTGGGTGACGGACTTTCTGTTCTATGTGGACATGTGCGTATGGAGGCTTAAATGCAAGCAACTGGAATTGCACCATAGGTCATAGGGCCCATGAGTCTAGGTTAGCAGGGATGCAGGACCAATTACTGGACAGAGTGAGTGCCTAAGACCACTAAGGACCTTCATCTTGATCAGCCAGAGGGGAGATCAGGATCAGAATGTGGGTGCTGTTTGTATTTGCCAGAGTACTGAGTGTTTCTGTGTGTCGACGTGAAGAATGTGTGTGTGCCTATTGGGATACACGCTCAGCCCCACTGCTGCCTGGACCTGGAGCTGTGGCAGCCTCACCTCTATTGGGCTCCTAGATTTGACAACTCCTAACAGTCCTTGCACGTGTGGTGGATTTTGCAGAAAACTAACATGGCAAAAAAACACCTAGGGAAAAAAAAACTATAAAACTAATTCTGAGAAAATTTAACTTTGGGTCAATGACTCAATTTCATGACTGTCTTCAGCAAGTCATGAAATACTGATACTTGTTTTCTCATACTTTTTGCTCTTAGTGTTAAGTAAATTCTCCCTGTTTTCTTCCATCTAACGAAAAATCCACATGAGAGGCAACAGATCTGGATTTGTTGGGCGGGGGGGCCGGGCATGAGGTCAGGGAATCTGCTGATACCTCTTTGTGGAGTGAGGTTCGTTTGCTACAATCTGTTAACTGCCGTAATTTACAATGACTCTGCTCCTCCACTTGCGAATGGAACCTCACTATTGACACGCTCAAATACAGGCTAATCCAGAATATTTTATTCTAAACACTCTCCTTTGTTTTGGTCCACATCTAAAGACTTGTGAAGGAGCTAATGCTTTTTAAAGTGGATATTTTATGCACTGCAAAGAAGTTCTTTGTAGTGTTAATATAGTGCTGTGCCTCTGTGTAAAGACAGCTCCTTCTTTTACTCATTTCTAACTAACCAATTTTTTTCTACATTTACCAGACTACTGGACTATTTTTTATATACTACACAATAGCATTTCAGAGAGCTGAAAGAATTGATCTGGCCAACTGCAAAACTAAATAGATACATAAATTGAACAGAAATGTATCCACCTTCCTAGCAGCAAACATAGCTTTCAATACCTTTTCCATGGGAATGTTAGTTCCAAATTGGCTCTGTGCCTTGCTAAGGCTTTACGTTTCATTAAAAAAAAATAAAATAAAATAAACAACCAAATGCTTGAAAAGTGTTTCTGGCTCCAGGGCTGGAACTGCTAGTTCTCTTTTAATTATTTCATCACTTCATTTGATAAAATTTGTCCACATGGAAGGAATACACAATTGTGTCTGCACAACTGAAAACCCCTCAAAAAATAATTTTCATCAGACTCAACACAGCTTCATCACCTTGTTGATCCTGACTTATCAACTGGTTCTCGAATTACTTTGCTTCTTCCACTTACTTTTTTGTAAACTGTGCCTCCTTTGCTAAGGCAAGTGCTTATAACTTAACAAGATATATGCAATTGAGATCAACAGGGAAAAAGAGGTAAGAGGCGGAAATGCAACTTCCTTGTTATGTGAGAAAATAAGGAGTGTCCTTTGCAAATAATCAAGTCCTTTGCTAGTACCACAAAAATCTAATGAGAAAATAAGCCTGTTCAGCTATGTGCTCCTATGTACTTAAAACCTGGAACAATGCCCTCAGACACACTTCCAAACTCCAATTGCCAAGGCATCACATAGAAAGGGAAATTGGCTTCTTAGACAACCTTTGCTTAAAGCCATATG